TTTTATCTTTAAACCATCACTTCTGGCCAAAATACCAGTCCATAATTCATAGTAATGCTTCCCCCAGTTAAAAAGTCAGTCCCCTGTTGTCCTCTCAAAATCCAACAACATATTTGTTTAGAGCTGTTTTGGACTGTTTAAACGGTGCTTGATATGTGCTTATTTCTCTCCTGATTCAGACATGACAACATTTTTCATTGGAAAAAGCAATATTATGGAAAGAGGACTTGAATTTTACTGGGAAGCAACCGATTAAATAATACAAAAAAATCTTAATGATGGATTTGTTTATTACAAACATCCATATTTTTGCTTCACAAGACATTAATTGTGGATTATTGAGATGCTGCTGTCCATTGGTGAGCAAGTCATGTAATGCTAAATTTCACCAAATCTGTTTGGATGAAGAAACAAACTCATTTTATTCTGCATAACATCTTGTTTTGCATTTGACATAAGAAATAAATTGATTTGTTTGGATATGTTTAAAAAAACAATTTCTATATTGATTTGACCTCTTGGTTCAGGAAATGTACTTTTTACTTTTTTAAAAAATGAAATCATCTTCCTAAAATAAAAACAATTAAATACTTAAAAAATACAAAACTGTCTCCTACAGAAATGTATTTTTCCTGAGATTCAACAGTTATTCTGTAAGCAAAGGCACACTGAGAGATTTGTATGGCATCTGAGATTGTTTATATCATCTCAAAGGTCTCATGATCAAAGTTATAAACTAGCGGAAGAACGTTGTTGCTATGTTCTCCTTCTCAGAGTAAATAGTGTCAAATGCTTACAAGACACAAAACATGAGCAGCAAATTTAAAGATCATTTTCACAGTCCATTTCTCATACATTAATTATCAATAATCTCATTCTTTATGGAGAAACTCCCATGTGTAAGATTCTCTGGAGAAGAAAAGATGACCAAAATGTCCTTCAAGACAGACCTCAACATTTTACTGAAGATGAGAATCTCAGTCTAACCCCATTACTACATCTCTACCTGCCTTCATCATATCAGCCGCAGGAGCAGAGAGAAGATACAGCACCAGGACAGGAAAATAGGTAAAACTAATACTTAACTGGTAGACTATCATCCTTAGAAAAACACAATTTTTAAAACAGAGCTAGGCCTCCAACTTCACAAAGAGAGTCTGATCAAGCACATAATGAAATGGACAAGAGACATCTATTCCATTCCTTTTTTACTCACAATTTGTACAGTGTCCCAACTTTTTTGGAATTGGGTTTGTACTTGATAATATTTAACCAATTAACAACCCCATCCGAAAATGCTATATAAAAACGCACCAGTATACCCACATGAAAAGCATCTTCCTGCATTCATCTCATTCAAATGCGCATAAGAAATTTAGCATTTCACGATCATGAAACACACGCAAGAGCTGGCTTTGAAGGGCACCTATTATGCCTCTTTTTACATGATGTAATATTGGTCTTGGGTGTCCCCAGAATGCCTGTGAAGTTTCAGCTCAAAACACCCCACAGATGATTTATTATGACATCTGGAAAATGTCTTATTTGGGGTGTGTCTAAAAAAAAAGAGCTGTTTTGGTGTGTATCACTTTAAATGCAAATGAGCTGCATATTCCCGCCCCGTCTCCAGAAGAGGGTGTAGCATATACTGTTACCTACAGCAATAAACAGCCAGTGGAAGCAACATGACTGAGAGCGAGAGAACCCGGTGTTCAGCCATGCATTTGGAAACCAATTGCACTGACAGTGGGACGAAACTGCGCGATATTACTGAGCTCGACTGAACTACCAAACGGACAGGCACGGCGCGAAATAATCTCACAAGTGCGGCACAGATCAATTAAAATACTTTAATAACGTACGCACACAAACACAGTTAAAAGGTTAGCCTAGCACTATAATGACATGACATTCACAAAGAATTAAATGATTTACGCAGACATGAATGTATTTAGGTCGATTTTGAGGTGCATTACCTTTAAAAATAAAAGTAATCCACTGTGTCCTCAGGGGCTCAGATGTTGGGAGAAAATTATTCTTATGTTCAGTCTTACATTCAAACACAGAACACCGAGATTGATTACAAGACATTGTTGACGTTACAGCTGTTTGAGCACAGAGAAAATGGAGGACAGTGTACAACTGCTGAGGGCGGAAACTATGGCAATGCAGGATTGTCAATCAGCCGCCATGGACGGGGCCTAAGCAATGTGATGTCATATTGCTTAGAGAATCAAAACGGCATGCCAAGTGAAACTGATTTGGTTTAATGGGGTTAAAAAATAAGGAGTGGGTGGATTTTTATCATTGTAGGGTGGTTGTGTTCACACACTACCAATGTATTTCGGTTAATACAACAATGTAAAAGTGGATTTTGCACAATAGGTGCCCTTTACACGCTTTTACAGGTGGAAATTTACAATGAAATCGGTGCTTGGATGCCATAATCAATTATTTGGGTCTGTTTTACTTTTAGCTGTATGTTACGTGTTTTATATTGAGTTCGATTTTGTTGGTTAGGTGTTCAAATTGAAAACCTCAACATCTTGTCATGGTGTCATAATTATTCCCCAAACATAATTTCACGACGATAAAATTCCCCTGATGTATTTTTGTAGGCTAAAACACCAAAAAATGAGCCAGCATTTTAGCCCACCAGATTCCATTGTCCTAAAGTCAATGGTATTTTAATGAGTTTTTGTTAAATGCCTGAAAATAAGGTCTGTGGTTAATAGGCTACACGCTTAAGGTATTAATTTTAGTTTAGATACTTGGGACCCACTTTATATTAAGTGGCCTTAACAACTATGTACTTACATTTAAATTAATAATTTGGTACAATGCACTTATTGTGTACATACATGTTTTTACATTGTACTTATATTTTAAAAATACCTGCACGTAATTACATCTGTAATTAATTTCTGTAATTACATTTATAATTACACAGTTGACCCATCCCTTACACCTTAACCCACCCTTAAACCTACCCTTACCACCAAACCTGTCCCTAACCTTGCCCACATCTCACCTCAATAGCAGCAAAAGTGTTTTGCAATACAATATGAACACAATAAGTACATTGTACTTAATTTTTGATGTAAGTACATAGTAGTTAAGGCAACTTAATATAAAGTGGGGCCGATACTTGTATTGAAAAAGTGATTGCTAACAAGTAGCAGCTACTGTAAATGTTGTTGGAGACAATGAACATTACATGCTTTGTAAGAATCATAGACGTTTGTTGGTCACTGAGGTTATTTTCTGCAATGCAAAAAGCAGTGCAAAAATCCAATTTGATTTTTGTGGAGGGAACCAGAGTGATGCTAATTTCTGAGTTGGCCTACAAAAAATACCCCTTACAAAAATTAACCATGGTTTTACTACAAATAAAACCGAAAAAACATGGTTACTATAGTTAAACTATGGCAACCACAAATGAACCAAAACTGGTTTTGCTACACTAACCATAGTTTAACCATGGTATTTATAGTAAAACAAATATAGTATGGTTGTTATACAACTGGTAATCAATATGCCAAAAAACCATGGTTACTACACTTTAACTATCATAAAACCATCCCTGAAGGCTGCGCAGCACTCTATCGACGGAAAATGTTTCTAATTGACAGCATGTCTCTTAAACATGCAGCAGTATTGGACGCCTTGGGAGTGAGAACATGTTGAGGCTAAAGACCTTGTACTGTAAAAACTACATGAAACGGAATAGATGGCAAGCATATTCAAATGCCAAAAATAATGGAATCATTCATCCATCCCTTTGAGCGGTTAATGAGGATTCATGAGTGATATGATGAGTCGTCTGTGCCACTGAGGCCGTATTAAGTGTCATTGTGAGCTGTGTGGTTAGTGTCTGGCATTCAGCTGGCGACAGTGTGATGTTCTCACTTCCATGGAAACTCACAATAGAGGAGGCCAGACTAGAGTAACTCATGCTAAGAATGGCATTAACCTGATGCTCACAGATGAAGTAAATTTAACTCAACAACTGCTCCCAACAGACATTACTAAGCTGCAAGGCCGTCGTCAAGGTAGGAATATTGTCTCAGTCCCTTTGGTGAGGGAGTCCCACTAAGGTCCTCTATGATACAGGCTATTCATTTGGCCAGGATACACTCAAAGCATTTTCAGAGAGCTAATAGTGTGTAAATTCTCCAATCTACTCAAATTACAATGGACAGTTGTACATATTTTCAGTTTCCCATGACTACCCTGTGCACTGCATGTTTTCAGTTTTTCTGTATCTCAGTATCATAGCAGCTGCAATATAGCTGTAGTTCAGGCTGCAAATATCATTTCACATTTGGTATTTCCAGGTTTCGCTCATGTTCCAGGCTAGCAAAACTCGTTTCACTGAACATAGGTCTCCAGGGTGCAGCAATCGAGAAGGGATTTCTGGTTTACTTAGCCTTAGGATGTAATCATTCTTTATGACGTTTGGACATCTGAAACCTCATAGTTTTAGAAGTAATATGCTGTAAAAAAAATTTGCCCTGCAGACAAACAGTCTTTTAATCTGTGAACAAATATAGTCCACATGCATTGGGTGTTACTTGGCTGGAATTTTCTTTTAGGTTAAACAAGATGTGGTGTGAACACTCAGCTGAAAGCTGTTTTAACACGTCCATATAGGGACAGATCTCTCATAAGCCACATATTGAATCTGTTTTTAATTTTCTCAATAATAGGGTCAAAATTTAACAAGCTTCTTTGATTCAAATCTTTACACACCTTTATCCCAAGGTATGTGACATAGTCTTTAATTGGTATTCTGACAATTTTGACAAAAATTGTGGTATCATCCTCCAATTGGCTAAGTTTAATCTTTTTACCAAACACTGAAATTCCTTGAAAACTTGCTTTTTTGATATGAGCAGCCATGACTTGAGTAACCAATATGAAGAGAAAGGGTGATATAGGACATCCTTTTCTTATCCCACTATCCATACCTTCATTTATAAGCTGCAGGCTCCATCGTTGCATCACAGGAAACGGAAACACCGTGTGGCAGCGTAACCATGGCGTGTACTTCCGTTTCCCTTCCAGTCGGGATTGTTGTGCGCTCTGCAGGAATGTGTGGAGATGCTGTCGCTGGGGGAGAGGGCACAGCCGCAGCGTCCTGCTGACAGATGAACGCAGTAACGGCGCTGACACACTCGCATCCGCGCGGCTGCGCATCGGTCCCGTTACCGCACATTCCCGGACTCGCATGATTGACTGAAGCGGCCCCTCCTCATGGCGAAAAACACCCTGTCCTCACGATTCCGGGGAGTCGACATCGACGAATACGACGAGAATAAATTCGTGGACGAGCAGGACGAGGCGGCCGAGCAGCAGGGACCGGACGCGTGCGAGGTGGACCATCTGATCAGGCAATATCCTTCAGACCAGAGTCAGAGCATCATCGATTACACATCCTCATCTCTCTTAAACGTGCCAGGAGTAAGTCCGTCTCTCTTAAGGTCACCCAAAACAACAACAACCTTGTCCTAGTTCAGATGTAGCTCATATATTATTTACGCACAGGTTGTGTCTCAAACCCTTCCTGCTGCCTACCGAGGCATCAGCGCCCCTGTGATGTCCAGAAATACTGTCCGCTGTCTAGATAGACCGTTCATAGGCAAAGAGTGGACGTTAATAAGAGTGAACCTGTCAGATAGTTGCACAGCGAGTGTGTGATGTGGGCCAACTTTAGCTTTATTATAAATTATAACGTTAGCAATTTCTTTAGTGGAGTTATTGGTGGAACTGGTTACTTTCTGTTCTAGTCATTGAAAATTACGCCTTAATATTTTATAGGTTAGGTTTTATTGTTCTGTACAGTAGTTTTAGTTGTCGCTCTCATTATTTTTTTCTGGCTTCAGTTTAGTTAGCTTCAGCTTTTAGCTGTTATAGATCAATTCTGAGTTATTTTATGTTGTACATTTTGATTTAATATCCTTAAAGGGCTGTTACGTTAACACACCGACTGAGAATAAGTAATTCTTTTAGTTCCCCTTTTTAAAATAATTTCTTTACTTTTGGTGCCACTGAAATTTTAGTTTCATTTTAGTTTTTTTTAGTTTTATAATTGCATCCTTTAAGTAACCTCTGAATAAGCTTGAATATGACAGGGTCATGCGGTTTTGACCTGTGATATATATAGTCTTTGGTTGAGTTTTAACGTGACACACCAGAGCTGCCGTACTTAGAAAGTAAACAATAATTTTGTTTCGAAGAAAAAACTCCCCCTCTTTCCCCCCAACGTGTGTGATGCCATTTATATAATCAGGTCATCAGCGGTTGTGACTGGAATGATCCATTTTTGGTGCTTAGAGGCACATTTTTAGACTGTACACTCTTAAAAATAAAGGTGCTTCAAAAGGTTCTTCAAGCGATGCCATAGAAGAACCATTTTTGGTTCCACAAAGAACCATTCAGTCAAAGGTTCTTTAAAGAACCATCTCTTTCTTACCTTTTTTATAATCTGAAGAACCTTTTTTCACCACAAAGAACCTTTTGTGAAACAGAAAAGGTTCTTCAGATGTTAAAGGTTCTTTATGGAACCATGTAGACAAGTCAAGTCAAGTCACCTTTATTTATATAGCGCTTTTAACAATACAGATTGTGACAAAGCAACTGAACAGCATTAATTAGGAAAATAGTGTCAATAATGCAAAATGACAATAGTAAACACTCATTTTTCAGTTAAAGACAGTTCATCATTGAATTCAGTGATGTCAACATCCAGCTCAGTTCAGTTTAAATAGTATCTGTGCAATCATGTCAACGATATCTCTGGAAATGAAGTGTCCCCAACTAAGCAAGCCAGAGGCAACAGCGGCAAGGAACCAAAACTCCATCGGTGACAGAATGGAGAAAAAACAGACAAAAAGGTTCTTCTATGGCATCGTGAAGCACCTTTATTTTTAAGAGTAGGAGCTTTAAAGAGGACGTGAATTGCATGTTTGTGTCTTCAGCATATTGTTTAGATACTGTTTAGATGTTTGTCTTGACGTCAGGTTTTGCATTGTCTTTTGGTCATTATTGGTTTCTTTAAAGGAGGATGATTTTGCGATGAAAGGTAGTGAATAGTAAGACTCCGATCTTTAAAATGTTGAGTAGTTGAGTGAGTAATAATGATTGTTTCCAAACTGGTTTCTTGAACACTCTTCCATTGGTCGGACAGGAGACATAGTCCCACTTCAAATTAAGTGTTGCTGTTTTGGGCTGTTCAGGATGACTGGCAATGTTTTTTAATATGCGACAGAGAAACAGTTTACACTTTTCAAAGAAACCAACCTATAAATGGTTTATTTTTAGTTGTCTCTCTGCATATAACACTGAAAAATGTACATACGTAAACAGCCCGTGAGACAAAAGCCAGATATGTACTACTTAACACCAGCTTCTCTGGGAACTTTTCTAATACTTTCCAAAATGTGAAGATGTTCTCCACATCTAAAGAATGCTCTTCAGGGTTTTTAGGAGCGACTGGCTGGTTGCTCAGCTTTCCTTAACTAACTGTGATGCACAGGGGACATGATGACAGCATTTCACATCGCCTTGAGGATTCCACCAATCAACTCCAAGAATCCAGCAGTGAAAGTAAGAGCCGATTCTGTTGCTCAGACAGCTTGATGTGTTGCTTACAGATGTTCAACAACACTGTTATTAGGGGCCCTATTTGTGCAGAACAGGTTGTCACAGAAATCTCATCGTGTGTCTGGAATGTGTTGTTGATTTGCCTTGAGGGTGTGAAATTCAGCGCTCCGAGTAGGGCTGCACGATTAATCGAATGCGATTGTCATGCGCATTTTGATAGTAAAGCCGGTTCTGTACTCACCAGTAAATCATCATCACGTGCTTTCAGATGGAGCAGCATTTACTACACAGAGCCGTAGTTCACTGACAAGTTACGCAAAAAAATAGCAGACATATTTCATAGTATTTAAGCAGTGATAAAGGCATTGCATTATAAATATACTTTATTTGAATGAAAATGATAATAAGAACTAAGATAAACCGTATATTGCCATAGGCGTGTGTTTATTAGTCACGTTGAATCAATGAAAGCAGTTGAATCTTCTGTTTATTCAGCTGCAGCGATAGGCATTTTCTGGGTTTCTTCTGCGAGGCGTATTTGGAGTTTCAGCACGAGAGCGCCCTCTGGCCTTTGGATGGAGATTTACTGCTGATCACAGAACCGTGCTTCACTGAAAGATACGCATGACAATCGCAGCTTCTGTCGAATCGCGATCTCGATTCCATTTCGATTTATCGTGCAGCCCTAGCTCCGAGTGGTTTAAGGGAACATTACGGGTCCATTGCAAAATGTTGATTACCACAAAAAGAACTTCCGCTTGTCCCTCCTTTTGATCCATGTTGTCAATGGAAGTGAATAGGGCCAATTTCTAAACATTATTTCATTCCAAGTAATATTATATAAATATATGAGTACATTAACATAACTTAATTTCGGTGTTTTGTATCAAATGTATTTTGGTGCATCACTAGTTATTATGCATTTAAACAGTCCATCGAGTAGGTATAGACATGTTTGTCTTTTCCTCCACCTACACTTGTTTGTTGCGCTCCCTCCCTCCACCTCCTCTCTCAGGATCGGGCACAGGCAGTGGTGTTACGAGTGCTGACTGCATTCAAGAGCAGCGATATCGAGCCGGCCGTGAAGTCTCTGGACAGGAACGGAGTGGACCTGCTGATGAAGTACATCTACAGAGGCTTCGAGAAGCCCTCAGACAACAGCAGCGCCATCCTGCTCCAGTGGCACGAAAAGGTCGGTCTTGGAATAAAGAGACTCGATGTCTCTGGTGTCTGTTTTTCATCTCACACGTCTATTATTGTCTTCTCACTCAGGCTTTCGCTGTGGGGGGTCTGGGGTCCATCGTACGAGTGCTGACTGCGAGAAAATCTGTCTGAGGAGCCGCAAGAAAACAGAGAGATAAGCAGCCACGGGATTTGTTTCTCTTTCTTAGACAAGGACAACTTCCTCTCTCACAGCTCAGCCTTATCCGAGGGAAAACCACTCATGCTCAACCGATTATTTCACTCAAAAACAGAGATATTGTATGATATTTAATGTAAATTATTGATGCATCAATATGTTGTTACGGAAGTCACGATTCTCGACTAATGAAGGTGAACGGTTGTGCGACGGAAGGATGAGGAGTCTCGTGACCAGACTTTGCTGTTTGAGCCCTGAGCTGCAGTTTCAGGGAATGAAATACTGTGACGAATATGAAAGTTGTATTTGCCTGTTTTACTTAGTTGGCGCTCTCGGATGTGTAGTTCTCATTTCTTTAGTTCCGGTTTTAATTTTTTCTTATTGTGCAGAAAGAGGATGATGTTTAATATATAGTATTTAGGTGGTGGATTTATGGTTCAAATCGTAGTGTGGGGTTGGGTCGGGAGAGTTATTGTGAAGTGCCTGGTGCAATAAAGAACATTAAGAGTGTATTTCTTTTCTTTAACTGACTATAGTTTTTAAAAAAATCTAAACTTTTTATTTCAGCTAATTGATTATCATTTCTCATTTTCATTTCCTTTAATTTGATGCACTAAAATAACAAAAAATAAAACAAATGACAAAAACAACATTACTACAACTTAAATGAAAACAGAAAATAAAAATATAAAAACTCTAATAGTATATCAATGACGACTTATAGACATTTTTAGACACGTTAGGCTTTATTAGAATTTAAAAAAAATCTGAAATTATGTTCTAATATGCATTTAAGTCAAGTTTGGTTCTTTATTTTGGAGTTTTAAATTAAGTAACATTGCAGTTGTATTTTTATAAGGTCTTGCTGGTTTACCTGATAAAGCCTCTTTGAAATTGTGGTCTCTGGGCTCAAGTCAAACATCAATGGGATCATTTAACCTATTTTGCTGTGTCGTTATTTGGGATAGTAATATTATACATTCCTCAGAAAACATGATT